GTATATGATAGAGCAATGAGATGAAACCATAACTTCGAATAAAATAAATAATTTATAATGAATCATCAGAATAACTCACATATAATTAGCAGCAGGAGCAGGTTACGGTAACTCAGTGAAGAAGTAGGGGTTACATTTTAAGTATTCTAATTTAAGTAAGAAAGAATGGGTATTTTTCTATATTCTAATTTATGCTATTTTGAGTTGATTTCGTTGGACCGCCTGTAAGAATTTTACCAAATTCTCTAAGTGAGAAATAAACAAGAAGCCAGTAAAACTAAAAATATCCTATATTCTTGTATATTTTAACTCGAAATATTACATTTTGCAATGCTCTGATTGGTTGTTGAATCTTTGTCAATAGTTTGACGTTAGACTTTATGTTCATTTAATGGCATTGGCAGCGTTTCAATAATACCAGCAATATTATAGATCTGTGAAGAGTAAAATAGTTCATGACAGAGAAGTCAGTATATTTATAGAAAAAGTAATGAAACGTGTATACTGTAACATTTTATGTGGAAAGGGTACCTCGAGGTGGTATAATGGTTAGCAAGCTTGTCTCGCTAAAGCAATTACGACTGAGTAGTGAGTTCGATCCTTACTGGGTGCACCATTCTTTCGGCCATGTGCCACATTTGAGCTACGCTTGGAAAATCACAATATTTTATGTGGAAAATGTTCTTTTATAAGAGGAAGCGTTACGCATAATGTAGCTACAGTGGAATGTAAAAACCAGTTTTAAGATAATCATTTCACCCCAAGCAAGACAATAAAGCTACCAAGACGAAAGAGGTTACTGAGTGTGAGAGGATATGAGAAAAAATATTATCAAGGAGAGATAACCATAAAAGAACAAGAATTAAGAAGATAACGATTGATATTGCATTTAATTTTTTTAAGATCAAAGTTGACCAGAAAGCAAGAAACTGGAAGAGAGTTCCACAAGCGAGAAGTGCAAGAGAAGAAGCTGTTAGCATAGAACTTACGGTTACATGGAGTCACTTTCTTCTTTGTGTTTTATCAAGAATCTCTAAATGCATAGCAGGAGCACAAGACTGGATTTGGCAGCAATATTCAGTGCATGTATGAATAAATGTGTAAGATAGATTTTGGCGTGACAAATTGTCTAGTACGATACACTGAATCAACTTTCTTAGCAGCGGATCTAGCAACTGATTCAATATAATATTTCCACTTCATGTCAGCGGAAAACGTCAGTCCGAGAAGGCGCAATGTGTATTTCTTCTGCCATGCTGATGGAAGTCAGAAAGGGATGTCTCAAGACAATTAAAAGAGAGCAATTTCGTATTGAAAGCATCAAAATTACCAAGCTATTCGTTGCCCCAGTTAAGAACAGTTTGTAGGTAATTTTTTAAATAAGCAACCAATTCGACTTTATAGAACCAATCAGGGTTAGTATTGACTACATTACAAATGCCTCATTTTACAGATGTTAGCAAGATGCCGACCTCCACAAAATATCCCGGGTTGATAAAGATACTTGATAAAGATACCAACTCTTTAAGAGGCCATTTTATACCAAAATTATTTATCACAATTAATTGGTTTTACTTTAGTTGGCAAAAATATAAACTATATGCAAAGTTTGTTTGGCGAAGGATTTACTTTTTCAGACTTTTTAGCTTGTATTCTGAAAAAAAATACTTGGGGTTTTGTCAGTAATTTTGCTTTAGTAGTTTTAGTAAAGCAGTTCTTTCTTGGTTTTCAAGACCTTTTTGATAGAAAAAGAATAAAAGAAATAGTTTGAGAAATTCATAAAACATACTTTCCACAAGGATTTGATTAGTTGATATCAACTTCCATTCATGCATAATTATTTCAATACCAATTTCCCTGACAAGAATGTAATTCTTTAACTATTGAGAGGCTTATGCTATTCTAGAAAAAATGAAAACTATCACAAATTCCGTTTATGGACTGCGATATACTAATTTCTATTAGTAAATAAATTAATTTATTAATTAACCATTGAACTAATTAAGGACAGTTGAACATAGGCCCAGAAGATCAACGAACTGGGTATTAACAGTTGACATTTGATTTCAATATTCCTTTAAATAAACGGATTGGCTAATGAAGCAAGGCTCGTAAAAATATTGCACTTTGGCCCAATGGCGCTTGACATGTTTATTAATGTAATTAGATAATCACAGCCATAATTAAGCAAGAGTAGTTCAGTGGAAGATCATTAGATATCGAATCAAACAGGAAGCCATGTTGAATATGGCACCTGAAGGAAAGGAGATAAGGAAGTAACAATGATGGGGGCGTGTCTTTTGCCCAGCCAGAAATTCGGAATTGTCAGGTTTGGATTTTTCTTCGTCGTTCTTACGATGATTTTAATGAATAACATTGATGTCAGATGTTGCATAGAATCAAACAACAGATATATATATATATATATATACATAGATTTAATATACACACAAAAACAAAACATTATATTTTACTATTGTCAGTAATTATTACTCTTATATATATATATGTGTGTGCATGCGTGTGTTTGTATGCGTGCGCACAGATAGAGAGATAAATAGATAGATAGACAGAGAAAGAGAGTGAGAGAAAAAAGAGGAATTGCTTAAAGCGGAAACTGTAAATAAAGCAGAAGATTATATGTTTTGATACAGAACAAGAAATGGTCTACTGTTCGTAAGTAACAAAGTAAGTACATATTTATTAAGGTAAGTTAGGGCAGATAAAAGTTTGGAAGAGCGAAGCAAAACAAAAACCCAGATTTCGTTTGTCTGTCTATCTTGCTAACAATTGCTTGACACCAGACGCCGCCATCAATAATTTCTGTTTTAGTTTTGTAATTTACTCAGCAAGCTAGTGCATAAAGATATGTATTATGCACCTCAGAATAAAGATACAAAATTAAAACAGACAAATATAAAACAACTAATTCTGTTTCTGGATATCTCGAGGTAAATTTATTAATTCTCTATATTTAGCAGTAGATGTTCAAGTTTTTAGTTTTATAGAGAGTAATGTAATTTTTTAAAATTAGAATTGTGCTCATTTTTCTTTGAAAGTCCTTTTTCTTTTGTTTGAACATCTTTGTTGAAAGCTGCTTTCCATTAAACTAACCTGAATAGATTCCATATTTGTCATCAGACAAGAGAATTTCTTTACCGGTTTGCATATTGTTCGCCGGTCTTCATCGATTTATTGTTATTTATCAACCATTTGCATCTTGAACTTGAAGAAGCACGGCGTTCTTTTGGAAAACAGTTTTCATTTGTTTATTAAATTAAATATTTCATAGTTTTCTAGTTTCATCGGTAAGCATTAATTTTCTTCATTTAAGCTTTATATAAAGCTTCCTACACTACATCGAGTTTTATATATATATATATATATATATATATATATATATATATATGATTTGAATAATCATAATTAATTCATCGCGTCTAGAAGAATCTTCAACAGAATGCAGAAAGCACTGGACGGCTGTCTCGTCTATTTTGGGGACGTATCAGCAGTCCACATCCACTACCGAGAATCGAACTCGTACCGTAACGATATGACGGATGAGTCACACGACAAAATATGTGATGAGCTGACTCTATATCGAGTCTGGTTTGTTACCTCTCCGTCACCGGGACCCGTTGGGTATGACGAGACGGCCGTCCAATGCTTTCCGCATTCTGTTGAGTATTCTTATAGACTCGATGAATTAATATTTATTATTCAAAAATGGAATATATATATATATATATATATATATATATATATATATATATATTATGAAATGGACAAAGTCCGACAATTAAGACATTTTTATGTTTATACATTCTTTTTATAGATACAAATATTTAAGTAAATGCTCTGTTTATGATAAACAATATTAAACAACATTTACCGGCCTGAATGTCCGTGAACTTTTCACAGAAAATATTCGTCCACCGACAGGATTCGAACCTATACGGAACCGTCATTTAGATTGACGTGCCTTTAACCGATTTGGCCACAGAGGAGCACACGGTTAGCAAGGTCAATTTACTGTATTTGAACTACAATCTTCTATGAATCTCTTACGTACATTCATATACTCTGTGTCCAAATCGGTTAAATATCTATAAAAAAAGAATGTATAAACATAAAATGCCTTTATATATATATATATATATATATATATATATATATATATATATATATATATATATACCACTGCTTGAACCGGCTTCTAATGTTCCGGATGGAGCGGCTTAGGTAGAGAATTCGTGACTCATGGGGCACAGTTGGTATAAGTAGACTCGGATAATTCACACGACGGTATTTGTAAAGAGCTGTCACTATATTGAGTCTGGTTTCTTACATCACTGTCACCGAGACCTGTTTGTCCAGTGGCTATGACGCTTGCGTCATATCGTAACAGTCCGTGTTCAATTCTTGGTAGTGTATTCGCACTGCTAATGAATCCCCAAAATCCCAGTGCTTTCTGTATTTTGTCGATGATTATTCTAGACACGGTGAATTAATTATATATATATATATATATATATATATATATATATATATATATATATATAAATTACAAAATATGTTAAATGACCGGAAACATCATCCGGGGTTGTACAGGCCGAGAATATTCTTGCTTACATGTCTACACCTCGACACCACTTCCGGTCTCCCACTCAACAACACCGTACTGTCCTCATCATCAACCTCTACTCCGAACCCAAACGCTTTCACCCCACACATGGATCCCCACCGTGCCCATCCTTCATATATATATATCCGAATCTGACATTAGCAGAATGCGCAGGTAATACCATGTGCACACATTAAAGCCAAAAATTTTATCATTCGGTTGATAATGAATAGTAGTTGGCAAGAAATTATGTTAATAAAAAACGAAAGTAAAGTAAAAGACTGACAAAAGAAAGAGAAAACTGAATGTTGCTGCCAAGATACGAATGGAAACCAAATGAAAGACAAAGAAGAAAAATAAAATACGAGAAAAAATATTAGGAGATTAAGAAAAGAAAAAAATGAAGGAAAAGATTAGGAATAGAATAAATGAAAAGAGCGTTAGCAAAATGATAGTGAGGGAATGAGTCAGTGAGAGAGAGAGAGAGAGAGAGATAGAGAGAGAGAGAGAGAGCAATACTGAATGAGTGGGAGAGATAGAGAGAGAGAGACCGAAAGTAGAGATTATAAGTGATGAATGAAATAGCGAAAAAAAAGGAACAATGGCAAAGTAGAAAAGAAAGAATGTACCGCAGAGTAGATTTAAAAAGAAAAGCGCTCTTCTTTCCGCTATGATGGCTTAGAATTGCAAACCTGAAATTGTTCCAATCGAGAAGAATTATTCAGGAAATTAAAACACATTTGATGAACGTTGCACGTCTTCACAACGGGGCTTTTGTTGATCTCGAGATGCGGAATAGTGGCTGACACCGACCGCAACTGATTTTCCCAAACTTTCTTAATTTACCTACTTTTAAGAGATTTCTATATTTGCTGTTTCTAATTAACGTACATGATCTCAGTCGTTAGAGCATTGCACTGAAATCAAAAGCAACAAAATTTAGGAATTATTTGGAGGAAGATTAAAAGCATACACTTCATAAATCGTGAGAAAATAAGTTTCGTTGTGTTTTCTATATCAGGCACCCTTGCACGCACACTTAAAATATTTCAATATAGTGTCTGACTTGAAAAACGAGAATAAAGCAGCCAATGTTTGGAAATAAAAGAAAATAATTACCTGAAACATTTTTAAACACGTCACATCATAAAAATATAGATGTTAGTCGAATGTAATGTCGTTCAAACATGGAGTAACCCGACACAATTTCCAAAATTTGACAAAATGACCAAACATTAGAAGTTTTAATCTATTATTGGCTGGGCCGTGAGCTTTTCAGCATCATTCGTAAATTTAACGAAGTTTTTTAAATTCTATATTTTGTCGGTGTAATTTGCGGATGGCGTAAGCTGAGTTCTAATTTCTTCTAGGGTCTCTCTGCGTTCACTTTACGCAAATGCCCTTTTGAAAGACATGAATCCATATTTTTCTACCCATATAAGGGTTACACTGAAATGTCGACTGGTCTTTCTATCTCTGCATGGTAGCCAGTTTAAGAGAAGGACAACTGTGAATTCAAAACCGCCAAGAAGGAATCCACTTCATTATCACTCACCAAAAGTCATTGCCAATTTACATATAATGAAAATAGCAATCTGTGGAAAACCAGGAAAAACATCTCGCTTAATCTTTTTAGACATAAAACTAATAGCGTATCTCAGGTTAATTTGCTATTTATTCGGTCAAAATGTCATTCGGGCCCATATTAAAAAGCATAGTCTTCTAATATAGGCAAATACTCACAAATAATGCGTATACAATGAGACAATAACAAAAACGGTTTCATATTCGTGAAATAATAAAATTAAGAAACTAAATAATATCTTCTTGATTTGGAAACTGGGATTTTCAAATGTATTTAATTATATTTCGTAATCTATTTAACCACGTAAAATTTCGTCCAGTGAAAATATTCATTTGAATATCGTTTGGTACGTAACGTCATCATAGCGTATAAACGATAAAAATTTAAAATCGAATGGCGTCCACAGTTTTTCCTTGATTCAGTAATAGCAACAAGTATTTTTGAAATTGGTAGAAGATAAACATTTGAACTATATTTACATTCGTTGGATCCAGACAGGCTTCTATGTAAACAAATTGAAAAAAAATTACACAAAACAGATGCCACATCAATTGTTTTTAATCACACACACACACACACACACACACACACACACACACACACACATATATATATATATATATATATATATATATATATATATATATATATATATTCTAACTAAAAATATATATAGAGAAAATTCTGGTCGAAAACATTAAAATTCTATATAAATCATATTACTAAAAACATCTCATGATAAGTGAGACCCTATATATTAAACATCTTTCTTCTACAACCAACCTCACCTTATTTAACAGTGGGAATGGAGTGTTAAATGTTTTTTTAAAGATTCTCAAACAAATTCCATCTGTGCTCAGCATGTGAAGGCTTGGAATAAACACTCCTATTCAAAACAACACAAAAATAAAATATAAATTAAACAGTGAAAACATGATGAAAAATTAACACCCCCCCTAAAAATGGCTAAAGAAATTGCCAAAAGCAATGAAAATTATTGAAAATTTATGTACTCCCTTTACTCCTGTAAAACGGAAAGATGTAAGGATGCTAGAAAAACTAAATAAAAAATTAATTAAATTTTCCTTGTATGCCGCAATTAATGAAACACTTTGCAATTAATGAAAACACTTGCGTTCAAGCATGAAACAATTTGTCGACTCTGGGTATTGACTTCAATGCCCACTTTCATATTTACATAAGCTCTACCACTGATATTGAGCACTTTATTCCGGTAAGTATAGCATCTTAAAACTATATATATATATATATATATATATATATATATATATATATATATATATATGAAGAAATATAGTCTTAAGACGTGCTATATTTATGGGGTAAATATCAGAGATAGAGCGTGTGTAAATATAAAAGTGAACATAGAAGTCAACACTTAGAGGCGACAGTCATCCTTCTAGATGCAATCGTCAGAACACGAGTGCTGTTATTTTTTTCGGCTATTTATATATACGGGTCAGTGGTGCATTGTGGGTAGTCTATTTTGGCGGTTATTGTACCGGAAGTCGTTTATTTGTTTATTTATTTATTTGGGTTAAATTATTTTGCTTGTTTTTATTTATTTATTTTCATTTTATTTTATTTTTATTTCTTATCTTATATATTTATTTATTTATTATTCTTTATTTTAATCGGTGTTTTTATTAACGTAGTAAAAATTTGTTTATATCGCTTATTTAATAGTTTTGTTTTGGTTTGGGAAGATAATTAAAGCTATTTATTCAATTTTGAGGTTGATTGTTGTAGTTTATTCTAGCTATTATTTTGGCGGAAACAGTTTTTAATTTGTTCATTACTTCATGTATTTATTTGGATTGATTATTTTTATTTGTTTTTAACGGTTATTTTATCGGGATCGATTTGTTTGTTTATTTATTTATTTGGATGAATTTAGGTCAATTTATTTTACTTATTATTATTTATTTGTTATACTGTATATTTTTGGGGGGTTTTCGATTTTAAAGTATCGTAGTATTTTTTCTTTTATCGTTATATAATAGTTATAGCTATTTTTTTCGTCCGATTTTTGGTTTGATTATTATAGTCTAACTAATATTTTGGTCATAATAGTTTGCTAATTTGTTTATTATTTACTTTATTTATTTGGGTTCATTGATTTTGTTTCTTATTTTTTATTCTATTTCGTCTATTCTAACAGGTGTGATTTGGTAATTTGTTTGGGTTAATTTATTTTGCTTATTTTATTGTTATTTTGTTTATTTATTCATTTTTTATTTTTATTTTATTTTATTTTTCCGTTTTCGATTTTTAATAATGTAGTAAAAATTTGTTTTCATGTCTGCATTTTGAGATGAGCTCGGATCTTTTATTTAATAATTTATGTTGGTCTAAGAAGGTAATGATAGCTATTTTTTCCTCCACGCAAAGTTTGCAAGTTTTTGATTGGTTGTTGTAGGCTGATGATCTTTTCCTTATTTTCCAAGATATTTTTGGTGTGATGTGTGCTTTGTTTTTAATTTCCCAGATATACTTAGAAAGCTGTTCGCGTATTTACTATTTGTGAAAGATGTTTTGTGTGTATAATTTCTTTGTTTCCAGGGTCCTTCAGTTACTCCTATGTATACTTTTTCTTCATTATCTGGTGATTTTTATCGTGGCTTGGTATATTACGTTGTTTTGTAAACAATTACCGTTTAAGGGACATTCGTTCTTTACTCTGCAGTTGTACGTGGGTTTAATTTGTTTGTGCGGTTTGTTGGTAATTTTCCTGTTGTGCTTTTTTTATTATTTGTGCCATGTTCTCGGTGCAACTGTAGCTGATTTTTACTGTGTTTTTGTTGAATATTTTGTGTAGGGTGCTTGATTCCGGGAAGTGTTTGTGTAAGAGTTTGAAGAATATTTTTCCTACGTTTGTTTTTACGTTTTTGCTGTACGGTGGGTTGAACCATATGGTATTTCTTTTCCTGTTGGCCTTTTTGTGTTCTGTGGTGAGTATGTGAGTGTTGCTGGGAATCCACTATCTTTTAGGGCTGTTTCGTAGTCTTTCTTAGCTTCGTTAAATATGGATTCATTGGAGGAATTGTCGGAAAGCCTGCGGTTAATCGATTTTGGTATCTGTTTGGTTATAGATGGCGGGTGGTTGGAAGATGTGTGTATATAGATTGGTTTATCATTAGGTTTTCTGTATGGTTTATATGTGCCTTTTTTTTTAGGTTGAAGGTGACATCTAGAAAATCTACTTCGTTTAGGTTAGTTTTTATATCTATGTCGAATCTATTATTTTTGAAAATCTTTATTATTGCTTTTCTAGTTTTGTCTGTTTGTTACAGATTCTTAAGATTATGAGACCATCGTCCCTGTAGAGTCCTGTGTCATTTTTAATTATTATTTTGCTTAGTTCGTGTAGTAAATAAATACCTATGATTTCGTATGTCTCTGCACTGTCAAAGCTTCCCATTGTAGTGTCAAATATCCCATCTTTCTTTATCCATGCTTCTTCATTGTGAAATAGTAATGATTTACGGGAGTGCTTAATGATGTCGATTTCGTTTGGTTTTATTATTATTTGTTCTTGAGCTAAGTTGATGGCCTTATCTAACATGCGTTCTGTTATGGATGGGTAAAATTATTTTATGTCTAATTGTACGAATTGGCAGTTTTTTTATTTATGCTGTGAAACCAGTCAATAGTTGCTTTTGTGTTTTTCCACTGGTTTACACCTAACTTCTTCCTAAGTTCAGAATTAATTCTTTCTAGTATCGTTTTACTTATGTTCGCTTTTGGCTGGGTTTATGAGTCTGCATAACAGCACTCGTGGCCTGACGATTGCATCTAACATGAAACAGACTGTCGCCTCTAAGTGTTGACTTCTATGTTCTTTTTTATATATATATATATATATATATATATATATATATATATATATATATATATATAAGGAAAATGTAAATGGAAAAGGGCAACAATAATATTGGATAGAGCAAGTTTTCAGTTACAAAAAATGATATTTTCACTTAGTCAGTACCCTTGATTAGGCATTTTCGCCATCGATGAACATGAGGTGCACATCGATGTCATCACTACCATTCTTACTTCCATACATTTCGTTCTTCGTAAACAGTCAAGGTTAATAAATGTTAAATTGTGCAATTTTTTTTACAGATAGAGGAATTCAGTGACACAGTACTATTTCGTAAGCACTTTCATGTCAGATTAAATTTTATTTTTCACTTCATGAAGATTGCGTTATACTATATACATATCTGTACTTATCCACCGCACCACATTCATTTTTGCTCATGACGATGGGACGCTAATTTTCGACCGAATATCTGATACGATTAATAATATCCTCACAGAATTTTCCTCATCTAGCTTTCATATATGTAGTGGCTTCAATATTGACCACAAAGAGTGGTCAGTCTACTCGAACAAAACCAATGAAGAAGGTAGATATTATACAGACTTCTCCATCGCCTATGGATTAGCTCAGATAATTGAAGAACTTACCCGCGTTCCTGACGCGACAGTATATCAAGCGAATATCCTTAACCTTTTCCTCACACACTTCTCTGAAAAATGCTACGCAAAAGTTTTATCTCTCCCGAGTATGTCAGAGAATTGCCTAGTAAGTGTTCAAATTGATGCCAAATCAAAGGCATCCACTGATTTGCTGTTTCCATGGAACGATTTTTCGTTACACGACAGCTTTAAATTTTGCATAGCGAAAGCTCCTCTCTTAACCTTCAAACATGCTGCCTTCAAAATTGTTACCTTCGTTTCAGAATAAATCATTTCTAGAATGAAGAGTTTTATACCCTACAAATAATTCCAACAAATACCGAATGGCCAGACCTCTTTTCGATCGACTGAAAATTTAAAGTACTCCGATAATTTACCACAAAAAAAAAAGTTTTCAACAAACAAACAGCAGTTCAAACTGCTTAGAACACTCTAATTTTATGATGCCGAAGTAAATATACTTTATTTTAATGCTTCTTATTTCAAATCCTAAATGTTCTGTGCTTTAAATTAATGCTCAAAAATCCTTTGTTTTTCGCGAACATAAAATTTGGCGTCATTTCCAGCCTTACGAGAGCAATTCCATTAATCTATACTTTTCTTCCTATCTGGAAGAATATCTGAACTTCAAACTCGTTCCCGATCCTACTTCCTTGTGCCACCTGAAATCATTTTTATCTATGTGTCTTAATTTAGCATCCGTCATGTCTTCCTCGTTCTCATTCATAAACCCGGAATGTTCTCGTTTGTCAAGCCCAAGAAATCCAACAAGTATTACGATTTATTTTCGATTGAAAATATTTAGTGACAGAAAGCGAAAATGAATAAGTGAGATTAGGATCTCGTAATCTCTAACAATTACTGTTTCACTTCGCAGACACGAAGGAACTCAATACGAGTTCATGTGGCCTTGTTACCTCTTTTTAGGTTTTCAAATTGAGTCTGTCTCTTGCAACCTAAACAAATACAAAAAGAAAATGGGGTTTCACATGTAAGGGGATTTAAATATATATTCATTATATTAAATATCTATTAATTCATAAATAGCAGGAAGAGACACAGGACAGAAGTAAAATAGGAAGGAACACAGACGAAGTGAAGTAGATCGAGTATTAGAAACATAATGAGATAGATAGACAGACGTCTAGAAAGAAGGAAGGAAAGGGAAATGGTGAGAAAGCTTAACAGAAAATATAGTTATGTTCAGTTTAGAAATTACGATAATAAATCTATACGTAACAAATGACATCAGATGCATAATCGCCACCAGTTCAGCAACTACTACTACTACTACTACTACTACTACTACTACTACTAATAATAATAATAATCTTGGTAAACCTTTCATTCAACTGCATTGTCTGATATTGACAATATTTTGAAACTAAATGTAAAAGAACACATACATTTTAAACTCATAATATTCAAATTGTTACAATTTATAAAGAAATACATAAAATTAACATATAACTAATAATCTATTTTCATTTTCGATGATTGATTGTAATGCCTTCCATAATTTCTAATTTATGAGGCATAGACAGGCGCATCATACGCATATATTCCGTTTTCTCTTTGGCTTTGCACGAATCTTCAAAATGGAATATTGAAGCAAATATTTACGACACAAGCGCCAATGGCAGCACATGTAACAAACACATTTTAATCGCCGAGCTCATTGCTGGAATAAAACATTTTCAGTAAGAGGAATTATTCACTTAAAATTATTGGTCAAGGATACCATATGATCTAATTCTTAAATCAATTACCAATGTGTGTCACCCTATGTTATACTTAAAATAAATACAGGGAAAGAGAGTGAGAGATAAACAAAGAGGGTGAAAGAGAGGGGCATTCAGGGAAAAGTTCATATATGAATGGTCGCTAATATAATGTACGGATATAGATAAGCATTTGCATTACAATCATCGATACTGTTGTTAGCACTTTATGATCATCATTTATAAATATTCAAACTTGTCTAAAAGCATAATTTATGCATTAACCTACATGCAGATACAGTTTTATACAATGATCTATTGTTCAGTAATAATAATAAAAATCTAGTATTATCATTTTGTAAGACAAAATGAAGTCGTGGTAATTGAGTGTGTTGGTTTGAGAATAACCGAAATCAATTATAACTGACGATTCAAATGTGTTCTAATGCCAAAGTTCTTTTGTACAATAGTAGAAAATTTAAATGAAGATATGATACTGTCGCAATACTCAGATATTTTAAAAAATTTTATATATAGCATAGGCTGTGTTTCGGAAGCATGAATAGGCTTGAAAAAGCAGGAAGCCGCCACAGTTTCTAGTTGAAACTTTGTAATAATTTCCATAGAAACGCATCAACAACAGCCACACATTATCCTCTGATTGAAATATTTCCACAAGATTGCGCATGAGTAATTTCACGAAATATTTTAAATTTTGGAATTTTTAACAGATTTGACTTTATTGCTTAATTCTTCGTAGACAAAAAAGAACAGTTTTGTTCGCAATAAGTTCGTATTTCTTTATTAAATGTATTTTTGTAAATAAGTAGCTCTGAATATATTTAAAAACCATTTTAAATATATATATATATCATGATGATCATACAAATAGTGTTGGCTGGTCGATGAAGGTAGTCTGATGATGCACTCGATTAATGGAATATAAAATTGGAAAGGATATGGTAAACACGATTAAAGCTTACTTTATCATTGTTTGGTAACACAAAACACTACGGGGGATGGCAGAAGATCAGACAATATTTAGACAAATTGTTTTTCTACACGCTTAAAAAAGAGACATTACGAAGAGGCAAAATTGGAATAGCTAGTAACATTCCATAATCTCTTAAGAACGAGCGTTAAGTCTATAGAGACATATATAGGCAAATCTATTTGTGTATATTATGAAGATTTCTTTTAGCACATAGGCCGCTGCCAGGGTAGTTGGTTCTCATGAGCCTCCGTATAATCTCTGCTCCCAATTCTTAGTTTCAGGACAATCTTGTAAATGTCTGTTGCGCATGCGCGGGTTATCTACTCAAACCAGAACAGAACGGGGAGTAATCTATTAAATTGATAAATAAATATAAAGTACTTGAATGTGTCAAGGAAATAAAGTAAATATATTTTCATATTTATTAGACATTGCTATGAAAACATTTTTGGTGTGGAACTAAGAAACGAATCGGTTATTAAATATAATCAACATGAATACCACGGAGTAGCAGACCTTTCTTGTAAGGCGAATAAAGTTTTCATTTTTTTCTTTGTTGCAAAGGAAATAACTTGAGATATGCTTTACAAAAACTTTACTTAATTTTGTAATTTTAAGCCAGAAATAGATTGCTTGAAAAGTCAAAACAAATTTAGAATGACCCATATCTATGTTTCTTAGATTCTACAAAGTTATTTGACATTGTACGACACAAAGAGCTACTTGAAATATTAGAAAATCTTGATTTACACGGGAAAGATATTCGATTAATCCGTAAACTTTGTTTGGAGCAAATAGCCAGCGTGCGGATAGAGAACGAATGTTATGGATGCACATAAACAGAAAGAGGAGTAAGGCAAAAACACGATTTCTTATTGAAATTATTTAACTTATAGAACAGGGCGACCCTAAGAGATCTAGAAGACCTATCAGAATTTATTATTGTCAAACATAATCTTAACAACATAAGGTACACAGATGAGATTCTATCGCTGCCAGACTCAGAAAGAAAAGTGAAAAACAAAACCCTCTTCGACAAGTTAATAAATGATATGGACGTGATAACTAATAAATGTAAGAAGATATGCTTATAGACCTCCATATTTGTTGAATTTAATTTACTATGAAAAAGTTATTGAAATATTGCGGTGTACAATTTATGATTCTGATTATACAGTTAAAAAAAAAACAACAAAAATAATTTACATCATTATTTAATATATTTTCGTTCCTGGAATCGGATTGAAAAAAAAATTCAAATATTTAATCAATTATTTGCATATTATTTAAAAATCGCTATAAAATTGTTAACGCGAATATTTTATCTTTGTACATTAATGCCTAAAGTATAATTTACCAAAGAAAATTGAACATTTTTTTAATGTAATGAACGTCTGAATCTGATCTGAAAATTTGCATAAGTGTTCTACTGCATCTGGCAATGCGTTTCAGCCTATCAAGATAGTTTTGTGCGTTGATTAAAATGCATTTAGACTTTCATCTGAAAGTTATATATACCATTTTTATAAAATGTTTACAAACATAATGTTTGTTGGATTTCAGTGGGATCAGTTTGCAATATAAATATACATCTGTTGATATATTATTGATATATGTGTATTTCTTATTCTAAATTTCGCCCATTTTAGTCGTGATGCACAGCGATTTTATTTTCTCGATTGACCTCAGTTGGCTTTTTTTTAAACATTTTTTTTGTCTTTTTTCTTTTATTTATTTGCTCTTTCGAATTATCATTTATGGAGATTGAAAAAATGTTTTCCATTTCCCTGTCCAATTTCCTTGCGTCTTTAAAAATGAAATATGTCTGTTTTTATGGCATTAATTAGCTGTTAACTTTACGTGTTACATCTATAATCACTATAAATTACTTCAGAAGAAGAAATATATCCAGTTCTCTGATTCTACTAAAATAATTTTAATGTGAAAATTTTCTCAGTCTCTTCGTCTTTCAAATCGGATAAAATTTATGAAAATAGAATCAATATGGGTCGGCTATTAGCACAATTTTTCACGGAGCATATCCATCATTGTCAATGCCTTGTAAACCTCAAACACTAATAACTGAATTATAGCTGCAAGCACATACACACACACAAATACAGATAGATTTGTTTCACCATGCCGTCAAAAGTGAGAGCGTATATGCCCTTACTGTGACATACAGAGGTCAATAAATGATATATGTATATAAAGTTTTTCCCCTTCCATCTAATACACACATAAGCACGCACATATACATTTTGTAAATGTCGTGAATGCTTTGAGATACTTAGTCAAGCGGCTTCTTCCCTTCAGCAATGTGGATTACCTGAGTCTTTTCATTCAACATTCTTTCCCACTTCCTATTGATTTTCCTTCATATTCTCAAACCAATTGTTTCAGTTTTGCTCTACTCGAATGCTCTTCCTGGTGATTTAAGCTTTCACCATTTGAAGTAACTTATGATTTGGCTGATACAATTTCTGATGTTTCAAACATGATTAGTTAATATATATATAATGATTTGCGTAACTCATGTCTCAGAACACATTTCAGAAGGTGTCCGATATATGTTGACATAAATTGGAGAAATACACTTTTCTGTGCAGTGGCAAAGCGAATTTCAATTTTAAAACACGGAATGCATTTTTTCTAATGTCTAACTACAGTTCGCTTCAGCGACATTGTCAGCTATATACCGGTGAAAACATACTAGATTTATGAGTACAATTTGTGCGACACTACTTTTAGATTTGACAGCTTCATTTCATCCCAAGAATTTGAAATATTTTCACGGTATCATAATTAGTATAATTCTTCCAGAAGTCCCTTAAGCACGTCATCTTGTGAGAAGATCTGCGATAAATAATAGGCCTTAAAGAAGGTCATAGCACATTGGTCCATTTAGCTGAAAAAGAGATACATTGTGTGTTTGTATGTGTGTTTGTGTGTGTTTGTGTGAGTGTGTGTGAGTGTGTGTGTGCGTGCGAGCGAGATCGCGCACGTATGTGTTGGGTGTAAATACGGCCATTACATTAGGGAGAAGGTAATTTAAAATTATTGGATGTCCAGATGCGTTGTTATGCACAATTACATTTTTAAGGGAAGTTTTTGGTCAAGCAGTAACGATCAACATTAAGGACAAAACCGTTCAAGAAACCAATAGTCAAAAATGGTAACTATAACCCAAACTTTCACATTTTCCTTTCAAAAAAAAAAGAAGAAGAAAATGACAAGGTGTTGAACGCTGGGATTGAGCTAGCAATACACAAGCAAAGGCTCAGACTTGTTGCACTACCCTCAAACAATAACGTCATCCTATCCTTCGATAGCGTACAATTTTTCATTTTTTTCTCTTACAAAAATAAAGCACTCTTGTTGGCATGAATTGTTTTGATTCCTTTCTAAATAATATTTCAATATTTTGGGAAACTCAATCGCATCAATTACACTGGGGATCTTGCATTTTAAGATAATCTGAATATTACACATGTTCATTATTACAAATTATATTTTATGTTTTGTATAGCAGTTCTTCTGTAAGTACACGTATACATTGATTTGCCCAAAGTCATTGTATTAGTCACTAGTATCGTGCATCGTCTAGCATAGCGAATCACAGCAACTCGTCATGGCATCGATTCAAAAAGTGGTTGAAAGTCCTCTATATAGGTGAATTATCTTGGGTGATAATGAACCTCTAGACTACTTCCCATAAATACTCGACTGGTCAAAAGTATTAGCTACACATTTCGTTGAAATCTCAAAAACATCCTCCACAAATCCATTCTGGGCAAATTAGACCAAATGACACGATGAGTTATTCCTGATTAAATAACCTATTAAGTGGATCAGCGAACAAAACCCATGCCACGTGAGCATACTTATGGAACCAAAACCAGCATACACGGCACCGTTATGACAACTGGAGTCTATAGCTAGGAGTTCTGCACCCCAACCATTAGCCTATCATCAGCCTGAAACAACACAAACCGTGACTTTATTCGACCAAACCACATGTTTCCAGTTCTTCAGGATCCAATTAGCGAAGTCACAAGTTAGGCGTCTTGATTTTACCAATCGAATTCTGCTATTACTATATTCTATACACTCCAAAGAAGCCTGAACTAACCTACTAGATATAAATCTGGATCCT